AGCCAAAATCAGCTTTGAAATATTTTCACTATACTTCTGACCCCTGCCTGCTTCTCTGACTGTCTCCCCTCACTACCACACAGGCTTTCTATTTCTCTAACAGGCCAACCTTGTTCCCCTCCAGGGAGGAGCCCTCAACTAATGACAGATGGGAGTTGGTAGATAAAAATGCCTCTGCCTGAGCATTCCTCATCATCTGGGTCCCAGCACAATGCCCTCCTTAGAGAGGCCCTGCTGACCCTAATTAAAGATACACCTTGCCAGTCACTGTCATTGTCAGTTCCTGGCTCCTTGAACAGCACTTGGCACACAGCAGGTGGTCAGTAAATATCTGTTCATGAATAAACAGTATAACATAAGCCAATCACGTCCCAGCAGAATCCTGCAACTGTCTGCTGTTTGAACCACGTATACTGGAGACGATATAAGTGACAGCTTGAAGATTTAGCCTAAGATTTATTGCTTCTGATTCATGCTCTGTTCATGCATGTGAATATCTTTAAGGAACATGGTTTGCAATTTTACCCACTACAGAATCATAATTTGTTCCTGCAATTCATGTGAAGATGACCTTGTCATACATCACCAGATACCTACAGCTTCCATTCTTCTTTCTTAATAACAGAACCCAAACTTGGGGGACAATGCGTCCAGTTAATCTCTCCAGATTTTCTTACAACCACAGCAGGTAGCCATGTAACCTAGTTCTGGTTGCTGAGAAGCAGAAGTCAGGTGAGGGTTCAGGAAAGCTACTGCTTTCTTGATAAAAAGGTAGACTCAGCTGCTGTCTTTTGTCCTTTGACCTATTTTTCTCCCTGCCTGGAACATAGCCATGATGGTGGAGGTGAATGAGTTGTCCCATGTAACAGTTAGTGCTCTGCCCATACCCCTTGACATGCATCATTCCTATATTCACCACAGGCTTCCTCCTGACAGCTCCTGTGATTCTCTGCCTGAGGGCTTTCGCTGGCTGCAGGAGCAGGCTGCTCAGCCCATATGTGGAAGACTGGAAACGCCAAGGAGTTAATGGCCCTGGGAGGAGCCCTCAACTAATGACAGATGGGAGTTGGTAGATAAATATCCCCAGCTCCTTGGTCCTTATGTGGGACAACTCTGAGGCATGAGTTACACTGCCTCCCTAAAGTCCTCAGCGAGGTGTTAACACCAGTTACCCACTCTCTTAGTTACCTAGTGCTGCTATAACAGAAATAAAACAAGTGGGTGTCTTTAACAAACAGAAATTTATTCTCTTACAGTCTAGGAGGCTAGAAGTTTGAATTTAGTGCACCAGCTCCAGAGGAAGGCTCTCTCTCTCTGTTGGTTTTAGGGGAAGGTCCTTGTCATCAAGCTTCCCCTGGTCTAGGAGTTTCTCAGCGCAGAGACCCTGGGTGGAAAGGACACGCTCTTCCTTCTTGGTGGTATGAGGTCCCTCTCCTCCCTGCTCATTTCTCTTTTATCTCAAAAGAGACTGACTCAAGATACAACCTAATCCTATAGATTGTGTCCTGCCTCATTAACGTAACTGCCTCTAATCCTGCCTCATTAACATCACAGAGGTTAGGATTTACAACACATAGGAAAATTACATCAGATCACAAAATGGAGGACAATCACACAATACTGGGAATCAGGGCCTAACCAAGTTGACATACATTATTAGTGGACACAATTTAATCTGTAACACCCACAGCAGCAACTCACTTATTAAAGCATTCTACATTGGCTTCTCTTCCCTGTCTCACTTCCCTACTAAACCATTGCTTCCCGGTAAACTACTTGCACATGAATACTTGTCTCAGGGACTGTTGCCAGGGAAGCCAAGCTAAGACATCTTATGACCATGATGATGAAAGCCACATGCTAAGGATGGAGACGAATCTAGAAGGCACCCAAGTCCTTGATGACTGCCTGGACTTTGGGGTATTTGAGAAAAATAAAACCCCTATTTCGTTAAGTCACCATAATTGGGTTTCTACAGCATGAAAACAAATATAATTCTGAGAGCTGGAGAAAATTTTGGTTGATTATGAATGCAATCTGTAGTCATCAGTTGGGCATGAATGCTAACAAAGCTGATGACAACTCTGGTTGCATTGTTACTAGCCCCTTATATGTTACAGCTACCATAGTTTGCTTACACACTGCCATATTTAATTCTCATGTTAATTACATAAGGTGGGTGCTATCAACTCCATTTTACTCAAGCCCAGAGAGGTTAAGTCACTTGCCCATAGTTACATGGCTAGTGTGGAATCAATACTCTAAAGTTCTGTGATCTTTCGCTATAGGGATGTTGTTGTTGCTAGCTGCTGTTGAGTTGGCCCCAACTCATGGCAGCCTTATGCATAAAAGAATGAAGTGTTGTCCGATCCTGCTCCATCTTCAGTATCATCGGTATGTTTGAGTCCATTGTGGCAGCTACTATAGGGATGTAGGATCTAGGTTTTCATTCTAAGGAGTCTGTGGCATTCAAGTCACAGTCATACCTCTCACCTGTTCCTCTGCCTTTCTCCCAAGAGCCTGTGCTTTTCCCATTTCCCATTACTACCCTTCATTCCCAGGGGACTACAGACTTTCACTTCTACCACTACTCCTCCCACCTGTCAAAATTCATCACAAATTTTACAAACTAATCATATGATCTCTAAAACATGTACTAAATACTCCTAACTCTAGGCCTTTTCTCAGTCTGTTGCCTTTGTCAAGAATACTTTACTTTGAAGGAGTGAACTGCTGTTTCAGAGCCTAGAGAAGATAGTCTGGCAATGCAGGTTTATGGTGGGCAGGGCACCCATCTTAGTATGGCCTATACCATAAAAAACATACAGATGCTTAATAAATATTTGTAAAGTTGAAATGGGTAGTCATGGTGGAATCCAAGCTGAATTCATATTTACTCTTGTTTAAAATAATTAGCATCAAATTCTGTTACACAAAAATGAAACATACTCTGTAGAACATTTCTGACAAATGAAATATATGCCACTGAATATTTATTACATTCAAGTTTGACATTTTAAAAAAAGGGCATTATAATACAAGTATTTATGAAAATGCTGACCATTTAAACATAATCTGAACCATACCAAACAAACTCATTCATTTTTTTGAAATGTGTTAATGACAATCTAGGAATTTATGTATAAGGCTGAACATTTTTTAACATTCCTGGCCTAAATGAGAAAAGACTGGGTTCTCTCACTAGTGACTCAGGAGTTGACTTCTATTACAACTGTTGGTATGTGGAGACAAGGCTAGCACCAGTGACTTGCTGAACTCTAGAAAACAAACATGCAGTGCTCCTGTGCTGCTCTTGGTCCCAGGAGATAAAGCCTGATCTAGGGTGAAACTACACACAGCGTAGGGAGAGGGCTGGACAGAAGGGGCTCACTGTGGCTGGAAGGGTGAAGGGATGGCAGTGTGCAGATATTGCTTTGACCTTAAAATACAAGTGAAGATGAGGCAAAGAAGAAGCCAGGTCAGCAACTCTCAAGATATTTATCAAGGTGGTTGGTAGGAAATATAAATGCTTCCTGGGCGTTACTCAAGAATTAAGCCATCATAACAGATGCAACTTTAAGGATAGGTTAATCAAACCGCCTACAAGTTCAAGTAGGGTATCAGCTCAAAAGATGCCTGTCTCTCTGATTTCAGCTGGTAAGGAATCTGTAGAGATTTTTAAATGTCTAGTCTTGATAACTATATTTCATAAAGCTACCATTTCATTTCATAAGGACAATAAGGTTCATTAAATCACAATACGAGACAAAATTTATACACGAGATGACAGAATTATTCCAAATACATTTTGCTGGATAAAGGTATTTTTCACTAAGCATAAAATCCAGTGAGACATAAGAATAATTATACCACAGTCATTATTAAAAGGCTTTAGACTATATTTTAAGTTCAAAAGGTTAAGGATTTTACAAAAAGATAATATGAGCTGTTAGTTATATATGAAGAGTACTTGATTAGATACAGAAAATATTAAGCATGGTTTCCTTCCTCTTGAAAAGCAGCTTTAGAAATACCAACTCTGATCAAATTTTGACCAACTAATTCTGTATCAGTGGCACCATACCCTCCATAACATAGAAAAAGTAAACCAGTTACTTTGTCTATCAAACCAAGTCACTGTTATGTTTCTATAATTTATCAAGGATGTACGGGAGTAGCTTATATTTATTATTATATAATATTGTGCAAATTAACATTTTTAAAAAAACATTTTCTGTATTTTTCAACAGTCCTGTTTGCTAGGATTTTGATCACTGAATATGTCTACCTTACAGTCCTGAACACTAATTTCCACTACGAGAATAAGATGGGTAAAATCATATTCTTTAACGTGATAAGCTACATTCTAAGAAATGATCTCAAACCTGCTATATTGAGACAGGATTGGAGGTACTACGTGAAGATCTGAGCGATATTTAAGGGGACCCTGACAAAGGATTTTATTTTTTTTAATTTTTATTTTTTCAAGAGAAATATTGAGGGAAAGAAGTATTCTATAATCTATGTTTAAGAGCCCCTGCTCTCATAGCCAAATGTATGAAAACAGTTTTCCTTAAAGAAACAGAGGTCTATGAGCCAAGGCAAGCTTTGGTTAAATGACTGGTAGCTTTTGTTTGGCTCTGGAGGTTTCCATGGAAACAGCCTGAGAGAAAAGGCAGCATTACCATCTTTATTCATTGTTATGGATTAAACTGTGTCCCCCCAACATATGTGCTGTAAATCCTAACCTCTATGCCTGTGGTTATAATCCCATTTAGGAATGGGTTGTGTTTGTTATGTTAATGAGGAAGGATTAGGGTAGGATGTGTTTTGAGTCAATCTCTTTTGAGATATAAAAGAGATTAAAGAAGCAACTGAGCAAGCAGAGATGGGGGAAGATTGATGCCAAGCCACACGGAGATCTCCAAGGAACCAGGAAACAAACTGAAGAGACAAGGACCTTAGGAGCCAACAAAGAGAGAAAGCTTTCCCCTAGAGCCAAGGCCCTGAATTCGGACTTCTAGCCTCCTAAACTGTGAGAAAATAAAATTCTGTTTGTTAAAGTCACCCATTTGTGGTATTTCTGTTATAGCAGCACTAGATAACGAAGACATCTGTAATGCCATCTGATAAAACTGCATATTGATTCATTCATGCTATCCAGAGCATATGTATTACTTCTGATAAGCCTGGACAAAGGGAGGCATGAGTCCTACCTGATCACACTTTGAATTTCCTGCCTTCCTCCATCTGAAACCTTAAATTAAAATCCCGATAAAATCTCCTCTGAATATTTCCCTTAGGAACCTCCAGTTCAAGTAATGCTTCAATGATCAGAAGCCAAATGAAGAAACGTGAACCACCAAATGTTGCTCCATTACCAAGTTCTTAAAATTATATAGCACCAAGCTTCCTAAAGCTGAAGAAATTATTCTGAAGAGTTACTTACGATTCTATTATACCAGATCTCAGCCAGGCAAGAAATGCTATCTTAAATGTTTATTATACACAGTTGAACCAGGTGGCATCATCCATAATTTTTCTCCCTCTTCATGTTTAGATCATATGTATGGTGGCAAAGTGGTTAAAGCACTTGGCTGCTAACTGGAAAGTCAACGGTTCAAACCCACCAGCAGCTCCGCGGGAAAAAGACACAACAGTCTACTTCTGCAAATATTTACAGCCATGGAAACCCTACGGGGCAAACCCTGTGCCATACAGGGTCGCTATGAGCTGGAATCGACTCAACTGCAATGGGTTAACATACCACATACCATTATTTGATCTTATTTCAGGTAGTGACTTCTCAGAAAGGACACAGAAGCAGCCCTACCTCAGAATCCTGAATTTGAAGTACTTAAAAATAAAAACAACCTCAACAACAAACCATTACCAAACAAACAAGATAAGGTGGCATGCAACCTTGAGCACCATGTTTAAGACCACACAGGGCAAGAGTATAGGTAGTGGTCTAAAGAGGAATCTAGGTCTGGGTTTCTCCCTGGAATAGGATCCCAAACACACAGCCCACTAGTAGAGCCCAGTACTTTTAAAAAGGAAAAGCCTGAGAAACCGTACTAGCAGAAATGTCAAAATCCATGATTTACCAGAGACAGACTGGCTTCTTATTCTAAAGTTATTGAAAACATTATTCCTTAGGAACAAACTGCTCACTTTGGGAGGCCAGCTGGGAAATCACTGACAACTTCAATGAACTAAATGATGCCACATTAAGTTAAAAAGACATGATACACTCCCAAATAGGACCAAGTTACTCATGGAAAGTAGTTTTTACTAATGAGCAGTTAGCTCTCTGACATCTGCATATAAAACTGAATGCTCCATAAGATAAAACAGCTGAAAAACACCCATACATCTATGCATTATGGTATTGGTGTGGATACCTAAATCACAATAAAGTCTCAGCTTGGTCCTTTCCATAAAAGGGGACTGAAAGTCTCAGGAAGGGTTTACTTAAGAGATGTGCTGAAGAAGTTAGAGTGTCAGAAACAACTTTAGATATCATCTAATGCAAATCTCCCATTTTACTGATGGGAAAATTGAGGCCTTAAGAGAACTGTCAGACCTAACCAATGAAAGGACCATGACTAGAAGAGAAGCCACAGGACTCTTATTTTGGTACTTTTCCCATCATGTATCTCTCTCAGGCTCCTTTAAATCTTAATGCCTATCATTTACTCAGGCTTGGGGAAAATGACTGAGATATCAGATAGGAAAAATGCTGCATTTTTACAATGATCTTGGTAATTCATGTTCTGATATGCTATCAACAAGGGGGAAAACCCCAGTCATCATTTGGTAGAACAGTTATTTCCTAGAAACAAGTTCCTTTTCTGGGAGTTGTTTTTTTTTGTAGGTACTGGCATTGCTCACAGCTGGCAGTTTTCATATACTCCATCTTTGCAGTTAGAGTTAGATTTGGCAGATCCCACATCATCAGACGGGCTGAAATGACCGCTGTCTTGAGAATCAGTATCAATACTTTTAGTCTCTGACTGAAGGTGGACAGAGACCTGAACCGCTATCTCCTGGCCTTGCTCATTCAGAGAACCATCATCCGAATCTCCTCCTGGTGAATGACTTCGCCCCATCTCTGGGTTAATGACATAGATGCCACCTTGAGCATCCAAGGCAGGTCTCTCTTTAATTCTTTCTCCCATGTCATCAGGGTCATCCACTCGCACAGCTTCAAACATCTCCTCAACAAAGGCCCGGCAGTTTAGGATAAGAGGTGGCAGAGGAACGCTTCTTGCCAGTTCTTCGATGTAACGGGCAAACTCCATGGTCTTAAACTGTGTGACTTTGGCAAGCTCCAGAGTCTTGGCTGAGGTGATGATGGGGATGCGTTTTGCAATCTCAAAGGCCTTCTGAAGCTTCTCAGCTCCTTCAGTTCTGAAGAATTCATTGATGGCCTTCTCAGTCTTGCGAAGATGGCTACTCATCATGCACAGCCGTGTGACATTCAAGATGAGAGTGATTGTAAAGGCAATCAGGCAAACAATCATGTAGTAGATGCTCATGTCTCCTGAGGTGAAGATGACGCGTAGGGTGACAGAATAGGAGGCACGAACTGGAGAGGTGATGAAACATGTATAGAGCCCACGGTCATCAAAGGCTACACTGGTGATATTCAGGAAGTTATCAGAAACCAACCATTTTCCACCTGATAAGCCAAAAGAAATTAAAAAAAATTACAGCATAAAGAATATTGTTACTAAAAATGCCAATTGCCTTATCAATATTCCACCTCTTCATGAAAGTACTTTAAATTTAACTTATCTGTTAGGGTCTACTATTGTTTAAATCATGTAAGAAACAGCAGATTATAATGTTCTGAGTCAGAATTTAACTTAAAAAAGAAATCAAGATCTTCCTTCCTGACACTAATGATTGTCATATCTACCTTTTCACTGCCAGATGTAAAAAGCCTTTCAGAGAAAATAATGACTATATGACTAATCTTAAAAAAAAAAAAAATGTTTGTATGTATGTGTGTGTGTCTATGCCACCATCTCTACCTATACACTTTCATACACTAGAAGGATATGCAACAAAAATGAAAACCAATGGTTATTTCTGGAGTGATAGGAGTAATTTTTATTTTTTTATTTAACTGTGTTTGCTAACTTTCCACAATAAACTTACATAATAAGAAACAAAAGTTATTTTTAAAAAAACCTAGCAATTTAATGCACCTTTTCAATTACTAACTGGCTAATCTGGCATGCCTTGCACATGTTGTTTTGTTAGGAAAGATTTGTTGATGACGATCTTGACTTTCTGGCAAGAGTAACTGAAGCAAAAGCCTAAACATGTGTTTCAAAATTCAGGGTAAATGAACAGCATGACAAAGAGAACAAAGTTGCCCTTAAGATGTCTATGCTTCTGTATAAAACCTAGACATTCTGCATCTCTCCCACTCAGGAAACACATACACAAAAGTATACAAAATTATAAAAAGTAAAGTGCACTGGCTACCTCCTTGACTCAACATACTTTAATAACTTGGCTCTGTCTGCACAATTCTCACCTTTGTGGTAATTTCCCAAAGTACTCTGCTTTAACTATGAAAGCCATTCAAAGGTAGGATGGATGGGCTAACCTGGGGTGTGGGTGAGTTCTAATGACTACAGCTGGTGTCCCAGGGGAGACTGGGTGACTCCTTGTTAAGCATCAACTGAATGCCTAATCTTCAAGATCTCTTTCACCCTTGAGATTCTATGGTTCTGGATTATTTTAGTGGCATGTATGTTAATAAACACTCTGGATTGTGGCCATTTTTATGATTATCAAAATTTATATTATTTATATTTAAGAATCATCACTTCACCAATGCAAAAAGAAGAAAATATGTAGTATGAATATAGCCATTATTCCATACGCTTCTGTTTCTATGATCTTGGAGATATGAAAATGATAACCTATGAATTCAAGGTATTACGAACCTCATAGACTCCATTATCAACTACTGTACTACAACCACCACCTAAACTCTCTAGCTCACTTGCTGATAATAGCTCAAGATTTATGAACCTTATACTAGAATGACATGCTCTTTAAACTCTTGTCACTTGAGATTCATCAAATCTAATACAATTTTCCAGAGCTGCTGCTGAAAGCATCAATGATAGACGATGTTTTCAAAGTAAAGGCAAAACAGGAAAATGAAACTGCCATTCCACTTGGCTGGTCTCCTCCTAACCTATGGCTTTCTTTACATATCAGCTGTCTACACTGATCACATTGACTGAATAATTCAAATCTTACATTTTGGTCAGGATATCCTAAAGCCCAGAGAGATTAAGTCTAGTTCAGTGGATCCCAAATCATGTTCAAAATATACATTCTGGGCACCACTTGAGAGATTCTGATTCAAAAGGTCTATATTTTTAACTAGTTGATGGGAACCACTGATCTAGCTTGGTCTTTGCTAATCTGTTTTATTCCATGACACATGCACAGATGTCAAAACGAGGATTACAACAAAGTGATATAATTAGGTGAATGAATGTGAGAAGAGGAAGGTGCTTGAAAAGCAGGCCTGGGTGAGATAAAGAAGAAAGAAAGGGGCAGTCTTAGCCCACAGTACCTGTTGCTGTTGAATCCATTCAACTCATGGCAACCCCACGTGTTACAGAGTAGAGCTACTCCATAGGATTTGCTTTACTATAATCTGTACAGAAGCAGATCGTCAGGCCTTTCTTCTGAGGCACCACTGGGTGGGTTCAAACCGCCAACCTTTAGGTAAGTAGTTGATTGCAAACTGTGCCACCCAGGGACCTCAACAGGGGTTCATCAGGTGAGTGAGTGAGTGGATGTGAAAACAGGGCTGAAAGGGTTGTGGAAGGGCAAAGAAAACAGATGGGAATGAAGGAGGAGGAGAAAAGACAAGCAAGTTGGATAGTTTTGTTTAGTCTAGCTTTTCAAACTGTTTTGACAACTAGTTTGTAGGTTCACTGAGAAGTGGATGGAAGAAGAGACTCAGCTTTTCAATGCTGTTTCTTTAGAGCAGTGTTTCTCAAAGTGGGGTCAAAGACCAGCTGCATAAGAATTATCCAGAGTGCTTGTTATAAATATAGATTCCTGAATCAGAAACTTTAGCGGGGTGCCTGGAAATCTGCATTGTGACTGATACTTCTTAAGTACTGTATCAATCATAAAAGTCACAAACTGTTTGAGAACCAATGCTTTGGAGGGCACCTGCCTAGGAACAGTCTTAAAGGCCACCTTGACACTCACAAAGAAACACTAGCTACATAGGAGCTAGATGAATAATTCAGATTCATCTTAACTAGTTTTACAGAAAAGAGAAGAGGTGACATTCTAAAATAGTGCTGTCCATTAGAAATATAATAGGAGCCACAAAAACAAGTCATGTACTTAACAAACTTTTCTAGTTGACATATTTAAGAAAAGTAAAAAGAAACAGGTGGAATTAATTTTAATAATATATTTTATTTAACCCAATATTTCAAAAATATTATCATCTCACATGTAATCAATATAAAAAGATTATCAGTGAATTTTCCATATATATTTTTTCCATACTAAAGCTTTGAATCCAGGGTGTATTTACACACTTACTGCACATCACAATTTGGACTAAAAACATTTCTAGTGTTCAGGAGTCACGTGTCTACTATATTGGAAAGCGAAGTAAAAATTATCACTAAGGAAAAAATTTCAGAAGGCTCTATCTTGGACTCAGTAGCAAAATTCAGATTAAATAAAAATTTAGTATTTTAACTGAACTTTAGAGAGATCTCTTATTTGTCTTCAGTTTCTTTATTCTGGAGTTATTTAAATTTAGGCCAGTTTGCAGCAATTCTTATTCTGTTCTTTCTAACAACTCAAACTCTTCAATCTCTTGGTGACCAGTTATTGTCTTTGCAGAAGGCTAAAATGTTTAGTGTATACTTCCAAAGCAAATACCATCTGCTTCCTTTTATGTTTTCCATCCTAATAAAACAGCTAAATATCCTTTATATTTCAGGAGGTTAGACTTTCTAACAAAAAAAGATAAGGGGACCTTTTCTGAAAGTGTAGCTTGTGGGGATCACAGAATTTAATCTTCATCTCACTGGCTTCTCATGGTGATTTCTTTTTGAGGTGTTTTAACTCAAAAGTACTCATCAAAAATCTTTCTAACAAAACACTGGGTAAGGAAATAGTGCGGGTTAATATGTGTTCACAGTTCCACAAATAGCAAAATCAAATAAAAACCTGTCAGAAAGCAGACCCTGGTCACATTATAGGTATGTTCGTGTGATTTTAAAGAGAAATTCTCATGTTTTTAAATAAATTATAGAACAGAAAAAAGAGCTAGAAGGGGCTACGGAACTTCTCCTCAGTGCTCTTTCAATTCTCAGAGGGGCTCAAAGTTTTAAAAACATCCTGGATTTTCTCCAACATTCATAGTAACTCATTTCAGAGCAAAAATTTTTTTAATTATGACAAACTTGAGTCTAACCCAAATGCTTCCTGCTGTCTTTTCACAGGGTCACCACACCGCACCATTCACACTGAAGTCTAGTGAACGGTGCTGCTGGAAGTGAGCAGTGCACGGCTTGCCCTGCTGGATGTAGCGGTTCTGAGGTAGTCTACTTTCAGTGAAGAAACAAACCAACTCACGAAAAGGAGGGAAAACAGCTCACTGTCATCAGTGAACTCCTTTTTTATTTATAACTATTCTTTATATTTTTCTTCGTCTTGCTAAGGAATTAAAATTGTTTTGCTTTTTCTGATAGGTTTAACACTTCATGACTTTTAAAAGTTTTAACTGTTCATCTTGGTAGCTCATCTTTGAGATTTCTTATTGAATACACCGTAAAACCAAGAAGACAGCACTAGCAGGACAGGAAGAGTAACCTTGATTAATTATACCCTGGTAGAGTTACCTCAAGGAGCCCTGGTGCTGCAATGGTGAAGTGCTCAGCTGCCAACCAAAAGGTCAGTGGTTTGAACCCACCAGATACTCCTGGGAGAAAAGACCTGGAGATCTGCTCCCATAAAAGATTTCAGCCTCGGAAACCCTGTGGGGCAGTTCTACTCTGTCCCACAGGGTCGCTATGAGTTGGAATCAACTTGATGGCACACAACAACAGTTACCTCTGTCTCTGTCATCCAGTTGCTGTCCTCTTGAGTTGTACCAATGGACGTCTTCATTGTGGCCGACTGTGAGAAGACACTCGATTGAAACACTAGCTCCCTCTTTGGCTATGATGACATCATTACCCGGATGGGAACCTGCTGAGAGTTCAAAGCTTGGGGGAAACGATGCATTGGAAGAACTGTGATTTGCTTCCAGCAGGTCCATTTGGTAGCAGTCTACATCTTCCAAAATAAAAGCAGCCGGCACAATAACACTCGCCACTAAAGTGAATAAGCAACAATGTGGCTTCATGGGAGAACGGGAGAAAATCTTGTTCAGATTTGGAGAACTCAAAAGCTTCTGTACTATAACAAGATCACAGTGGCAAATTTATTGTTTGATACTGAAGTTTTCCGAAAAAGTGGTAGATCCAGATGTACTTTGAAGTCTTCAAAATTAAAAGATGTGAGTGGAGACCAACCTAAAAGAAAGCCAGATATAAAATTTAACCAACCAAGGCTCATGATGGGGTGAAAGTGTGTTTGATCTAGAAATGAACAGATGTGAAACTGATTAGGAGAGTTGGTGCTGACATCAGGAAGTCGAACTGAAGTGATACAGAGAAAATACCATCTGAAAATCTCACACAGAGACGGGAGAAAGAGCACTGAATCAGGAAATGGCAGACCTAGATCCTGGTCCTAGCTTTGCTACTAACTAGCTGTATGACCTTGGCAAGTAGCTTTCTCTCTGGGCTTCTGTCTTCTCATCTGTCAAATGAGGAACTGGATGAGACAATCTCTAGGGGCTCTTCCAGTTCTGAACTGCTATGATTCTATTTCACTCTGACAAATTCTACGCAACAGGGAGCCAATGCAGGCTAAAATATTTAGCTTAATGATCTTTTATTTCAACCTGCACCATTACCATCTGTTGTTATATCAATAATGTAAATCAACCGGTACATCATAATCATAACCATGCAGCTCAAAACTTGGGTAATTCAAGTGCACAGATATATCAGATATAAATAATGCAGGAACATTTGAGATAGTTTTTTTTGTTTTTGTTTTAACATTAGAAAGAAAATTGTACTTATTGCAATACATATACAGAATTATTGACTCCTGAGGCTACAGAACCTCCCTCCTGGCAACAATGTTAGTCAAAAGAATTTTCCTTTAACAGTTTCTTCAATATCATGAGACAAAACACAGTATATTTAATAGTTTGTAAGAATAGCAAATTCTAGCTCAAACTCTAAAATCAGCCAAAGGAGGAATTGACATCTTAAGTATCTAGCTGGTAGAAATGTAAATATAAAACTACAGGGGAAGATTGTCAGACAAATTTAAAAGAAGAGCAAAATATCATGAATAAAATACAAAATAACATCCCAGTCTAAGAGTCTATCAGATTAGGATCATCTTCCTGTTAATCTGATTCCCCTTTTAAATCATTGATTCTCAAAGAAAAATCTCCACTTCTATTTCTATAAAATATGGGATGAAATGCCTAGTTTTATTTCTAATAAAGGCCCAAGATAATTAGTTTTGGAAATGACATTTACTCTCCCTTATACTTACGTGAAGGCTGCTTAACCATAGAACATAAAAAGCAATCATTAAATTCCTCAAAGTCTGAATTACAATAAGTTGTAAATGTCATTTAATTTTCACTAGTCCTTGAAAGGATGTTTGAACGATGATAATTTTCTAAACCTTTAAAATTTAAGGATGGACTATTTAGAGTAAAACAAATAACTTTGGTCATACATGATAAATCAAACACATGCTTATCTCCATTTCTTCCCCAAACCCCACTAAAATGACACTCAAGGAAACAGAATTTGCACATTGGAGGGAATTTTAGAAATGATGTGATTTAACCTATTCACTTCACAGTGACTTGATCCTTAAGACAATGCTGTAAGTTAGTAGGAAAACTCAGATCAGAACCTAGTCTCTCTTTTTAGGAGAGGGTGGTGGGTGGAAATAATGAAAATATAACATTTGCTGAATGACTGCCATAAGCCGGGCACTGTGCTAGGGGCTTGACATGTACAAGCTCCCGAGTTCCTTTTCTCTATAAGATATACAATAATTGGTAGACATGATTCCGTCCTTTATTCTAGACGAGTGGTTTTCAATGGTGGCAGGATACGAGTGTGCTGCAAAAGTGCTCCAGGTTATTTTTCCTGCTCTTCCCCCTTTCCCCAGGACTTGGATGAGGGGTCCCTGTGGGTTCATCTGGAGCCCTGGTGGTGCAGTGGTTAAGAGCTACAGCTGCTAACCAAAAGGTCAGCAGTTGGAATCTACCAGCTGCTCCTTGGAAACTCTATGGGGCAGCTCCACTCTGTCCTATAGGGTTGCTTGAGTTGGAATTGACTTGACAGCAACGGGTTTGGTTTTTTTCATTTCGTGCATTCACCTAAGTCAGTATTTCCCAAACTTCATTCATTCCTTCTACTGCCATGTTTTTTAAATTTTTTTTTTGTTTTGCTTTTTGCTATATCTATGTATGGGTTGCTACGAGTTGGATTCGACTTGACGGCAGCAGGCATGTACCATATTATTATTCACTTACACTTTTTTTTTTAAATTGACTTACTTACAATCATTTATTTTAAAAATAAACTTTATATCCCTTCATTGGATAAAGGTAACTATACACAGAAACATAATGAAAATAAAGCAGTGTTATTAATTTCTAGAGATACTGTTCTCTGATAAAGGCTCTGAGTTGGGGCCGGTTCTTTACATAGGAAAAACAAACAAATTCCCCTACCCCCCGTTTATTTTAATACCACCTCATCTCTTATCCTGCCATCCCATTCCTCCCCACCCTTCCTTGCCACTGAGTTTAGAACCACTGTTTTAGACTAGAGGTATACATTTTCATCTACGCAACAGTATCTATTGAGCCAACCTACTGTACTACAGACACAGTCTCTGCCTTCATGGAGGTCAGTCTGGATGTAGACAGTAACTAAATATATACAAAATATGCTAAATGTTACCCAAGGGAAAGCACAGAATGCTACCGAACACCCAACATAGGAGCTAACCTCATAGAAGAAAGACTCCCTAAAGAAACCAGGTGTGCAGCAGGACTGAGAGATAAACAGAAATCAAGAATGGAGTGTTCCCGGTAGCAGGCCAGAGGACAGGGAAAAAGTGGAAGGGTCACTGGTGAAGAAGTATTCAGGAAAAAGAGCTGGTTACAGAAATGAGAGATGACGGCCAGGGAGTGCTGTGTCTGATTCTGGCGGGAGCAGTCTGGGCCGACAGTAGAACTGGAGGTGGACTTTGGGTATCAGAGTGGGAGTGTAAAGTGAGTGAAGAAGATTCTTATTCAAGATGAAGAGGACAAAGAGCTGACAGGCTTAGGACAGATTACGTGTGGGGATAAGGATGTTGCCCCAGTATCAAGGCAGCAACGGTGGAAGAAACACAAAATATAAGAAGGACTTACTCTTCCTGGCATGAGATGTAAAAGCTACGGAAGAATGAACAGCCTCCACACGAGAGGGCTGCAGGGCAAGTGGTGTCCTCACACAGTGCCTAGCACTCCTGCCTGGAATCCCTTCTTCATGCAGCTTCTCTGAGCCAAGGCCCACCCTCCTTTCAGGGCCTGGCTCTTCATCTCACATGGATCCAGAGTATGCTTGTGGATAGTGAATGGCTTCCCATGACCTTCCACAGCCCTCACCACCTACACTACTCATTTGGCTCTTGTATATGGTGCACTATACTACTAGGCAGTCTACCCCATCTAACCTATGAGCCCCTTAAGCACAGGGACTATATTTTTTATTGTTATACCTCATAACTAGCACATGATCAATATATATTTATTGATGAAGATTAGCTTAAATTTGATAAAGTATGTGATGGAGCTGTGTAAAGTAAAGAATGTTATGCAACAGGGATCATAATTATTCAAATCAATATACAATTACTGAGCACCTATTATCTTCTCTGAGACAAAAAGAGCCAATGCTAACAATTTCAAAAGATCTTAAAGGTACCTACCTAAAAGCATTCTTCAAATGGGGCCCTAGCCCCCAAAGTTTCCATTTAACATATTGTCCTAGAAGATATCGACGGGAATAAAAGATCACCAAGTCCAGAGTTTCCAAACCAGGTTGAATATCACAATCACCTGGAGAACTTGTTACAAATGTAGATTCCTGGGTCCCCACCTCAGATTCAGAGAATCAGAACCTTTGGGTTTGGGCCTTGGAATTTATGGCTTTTCATTACTCACTGGGTGATTCTGGCAGTAGGTCTGTGGACTGGCACCCAGGGACCACTGATATAGTTCCTAGCTTCCTTTGCAACATCCTTGCCTAACAGTGGTCCAAATTGTTTGACAGATCCAATAAAACATCCTTGCCTAACAGTGGTCCAAATTGTTTGACAGATCCAATAAGAGTGGACTAATCAGTCACATTCCACCGCGTATTTAGATTCTCGAACAGTGTAACTCTAGGCCTCTGATAAAGGCAGGATAGCAGAGAGGTTCAGAGTACTGACTCTGGAGCCAGATTTCTGGATTCAAATCCTGATTCGAACTTTAACTAGCCTGGTGTTAAAAAAAAGAAAACAACATAAAACAAAAAAACAGCATGGGCGCAGAGTCTGACCTCTTCTAACTTTACAAGGGGGAAGGAGAGTCAAGATCAACAGCCCAAGGCTGACTCCTATGAGGCCGAAGTCAGACATGCCTCCTCTCTCTGACATCTTTACCAATTCTGACACCAACTGTCCCTCCCATGGCACTCTCTACTTCTCTGCTGGGTTCGGTAAATTCATTGCAATGGCCACACAGAACTCACAGACAATACTCATCATTATGGGGTTTATTAGGGAAGTAACAGCTACAATTCAGGCTCAGTAACACACAGGATACAGTTCTTCCATCAGGACAGTCTCTTCCCCAGCCGTGCTCGCAGGCACGCCTCTCCCTGGCCCTCAGCCTCTGCCCAAAGGCACTCAGCTTTCTCTCTCCATGGGCCAGGAAGCCCACCACGTCATCATCTGCTGCTGGGTCTCTGCCTTCATTTCTCACTGCCTCCAGTGTTACAGCTCCCTCTCTGTCTCCAGGTTCCAGGAGCTTCTCAGCACAGGGATCCCGGGTCCAAAGGACATGCTGGCTCCTGCCTGTTCTTCCTTGGTGGAGGTGGGATTCTCCCTCTCCCACCTCTGCAATGGCTCATTTCAAGCCCAGCAGGATGCCAAAACTGACCAATCCCTTTAGTGGGCCACAATTACCCTATCACACAGTCCCGTCCAATCACTTGGGTGGGACTTACAAGACCATGGCTAGAAAGGCCACACAAAAGTGATCCACCACACCGCACCTTGTAACTTTTGTTAATGATTTATTCTGTGAATCAATCCCCTCATGTTTAAAATGGGGGAAATAATAGGAAGGAGCCCTTGTGGTGCAATGGTTAAGCATTCAGCTTGCTAACTG